CTGCATTGAATCCCCAGGAATCCAAATTTTAAAGCTGAAAAATATACACGTTGAAAATTATACTCTTCATAGAGTTAAAGACAAAAAATCGCCCGACACTGTGTCTTTGTCATTATTTTGCTTTTTGGTCTGTTTGCATGTTTTCTGGTACTGGGGATTGAATTCACGACCTCACACTTGCCAGTCAGTAGCTATGCTGCTGAGCTAAATCCCTGGCCCTGTCGTTCTGTTTCCTGAGGCAGGGTCTCACCATGGAGCTCAGGCTGGTCCTGAACTCTTTGAGAGTCTGTAAGTCCTCTAACTTACAGCATTCTTCTGCCTCATCCTCCCACGGGATTACAGGTGTGCATGACAAGGCCCAGCTGGAGGGCTTTGCTGACCTCCCCCACCATGCTGTATCCACAGCAAAGACCAAGAAACCTTGGTACAAGGCCACCATTCGTTCCCAGGTCCCTTCTCTCTCAGCAGCACCCTCTCACCACATTCACTGGTTTATCAACAAACTGACAAAAGCAGCCAGCCATCTTGCTAGCCCATTGATTTTAATGAAACAGGAAAGGTAAAAAAAAAAAAAAAAAAAGTTAAAAGAATTCCCCCAAAGAAAAAGCTTACTCAGCACAATGCGCTATAACTAAGGGGAAAATAATGGCATTCGATCACCCGGATTTTCCTTGGCCACCTGGGGCTGCACGTGCTGGTGCACTCACTGTCCACCCTGCCCAAGATTAAGTGTTCAACTGAGCTGCAAAACCTAAAGTGAGCTGAAGACTGTGGTTTGCCAATCCCTCTTTATCAGCAATCCAACACTAGCAACCAGTCCCATAACAGGCAAGCCCCCAGGCAGCTCCGTAATAAAAGAAAATAAGGATTAGCACGTTCCCTCGAGGTAAATCCTAATGTATTTCTGATATGTCTGCCTTATCTGTGAAGTCTCGAGGTAACTCTTACAGGCTCACAGACTTGTCTGCACTGAATAAAACTATACATGGCCCTAAATGAATCTACTTTTTTGTACTAGGAATGGAACTCAGGGCCTTGTGCTTGCCAGGCAGACACTGTGCTGCTGAGCTACACCCCCAGCCCAAGAATCTACCTTTCAAAGTCACATCTTAAATTAGAGTTTAAAAAAGAAAAAGCAATTGCTTGGTTTTCATGTAACTGCCTTTCCGGTTAAAAACAAGGCTCTATAAGCAATCTATGAACCTAATGGAGAATGGATAAACTTTAACGGGTAAAAGTATCTTACCTTTGTACCCTTTCCCACCAAAGTAAAAACGCACAAAGCACTCAAACTCACAGTCCTAATAATCTATAATCAAAATATCAGAAGAGCAACAGAAATTCTGCAAGAAAAATGTTTATAAGTATTTTTTAAATCAAACATAACTGCAGTATAAACAAACAGATTAACTAAAATAAGCAACTGGTGTCTCCACTGATTCTACCAAGCACTTTATGGCTTGCATTAACCATGAAATTTACACAAGGCTTTGCATGTGATTCAACTCTGGACACAGACTCACTGACATACGTTAGTCCTAAAACACCTCTTTCAACCACCACATAAGCTCTGAACAGGCTTAAAACAATCACAGCCTGTGCACACTGTAGAATTTGGAGCTAGGTTTCATCCTCACTAAATTCAACCAGTCATGGAGCCAATCCCAATCCCAATCCCAATAAGCACACCACCTGTGAGTCTTACCTACGCCTCAAGTCAAATATTTGCCATTTTTTGATCCCCAATCTGTACGTTGAAGGAATGTCAGATCATGGCACCAGGCCTCTCAATTTCGTCATGGGCCAAAACAATCTGCACCTTCACTCTGACATGGCCTGTATCCCACTGTTTACTGAGTTCCTAACATGAACTGGCTAGGAGTGTGCATACATTATCGCCAGTTCATATGACAGATCTCCTTCTGCTGATGAGGAAACTGAGGCAGGGCAGCCAAGGGGACCTGTGCAGTGCCATAGAGCCAGTAAATGGTGAAGCTGAAATTTAAACCTAGTTTTTTTTTCTGGCTCCAAAGAACTGTCTCCCTTGAGCTAAAGTCACCAGCCACAATAGCAGTTTGCCTCTATCAAACTTCATGTTTGTCAGAAACAGCAACAACACTGAGAAAACCATCAGACCCAAGCCGGCAGCACAGGACCCACGACTGCCAGCCAGAAGCACAGGTACCACTTAGCTCCAAAGACCATGGTTCCAAATACAGAACAATCCACCACTTTTTTTTTTCTTTTTTTGCTAGCTCTCAACTGACTTTTTAGAACAAGGGAAATGAAACTCACAATATAATCACATTTTCAGTAAGATTATTTAAAACTCTTCAGGAAAGGGTGATTTTTAAACAGTTCACATTATATTGTACTTCTAAAAACTTCAGACATTTGAAAACAAAATTACAACAGCACCATTAATAATACACACGCACAGGCACACACGCACATGCAGACTTGGAACGTCTTTTCTCACCATACTACAAGCTTACTTCCTATACTCAGAGCAGAAATGGAAGCAGCTCTGGGCGTCAGGAACCAGAGCTCCATGCCACAGCTGCAGGGAGTAGGTGGTGCTTCCCCTGAGTAGGAGCCAGTCTGAAACCTCCTAAGGGAAGGGTGGCTAGAGAGGAGTGTGGAAGAGACCAGAGCAAGCTGCGGTACTAATGAGGGTGAGCTGCTGGCACCACGACTCCTTGAGTGGCTCACTGCTATGCAACTGTTCCCCAGCTCCCCAGCTCTGAAGCTGGCAGGAAGAGAATGCAGCTCTCACAGCCATGTGTGTTATGTGATCAGCTGCCCATGGTGTGTGGGTGTGTACCTAGGTTCCCACCGCTGCAGAGAGGTTCTGCAAAATAACCCAAGAAGCATGTTGTGCCCTGAGATTTTAATGGTTTGGCTTTAATACTACACTGACAAAGAAAAGTAACATATCTGCAACTTTTAAATGGTTTGAATTTAGGATGGGCAAATAATTTCCAGTAGCGAAACTTCAGTGTGACATGAACAAAAAAATGTACCCTGTAATATAAGCCACTTTGAGCATATTATGGGATAATAAAGATGTGACATATGCAACCTCAGCATGCTTTAAAATTTCATAGGTACACTGCATAATTATTAAAATAACTACTGGTCTGCAGACATGTGAAACAAATTCTCTATGGCTCTATGCAAGCCTCTTTCTCCTTCCAAAATATCTAAAGACCATGAATTACTCAGATTCTGAGAACCCCATAAAATGCAAGCAAAATAAAGGTCTCAGTGGATTCCTTAAATGAAAAATATTGTCCAGACTGTAAAATCCCAGAAAGCTGGGACTGTGTTTAATAACTGCCCATCACAACCCTTACCACAAATTGGAATAAATGTCTCTTGACTGAAACATCATCAAAACCCAAAAGCTGAGTGCTGGGTAGACAAAAATACCAACATTTATCACCCTGCTTAGTGATAGAGCAGTGCAGTTTCTATTTCTAGATTCTAAACATAGAGACCAAATTCTCCACAATTAAAATCCATTAAAACAAAATGACTTTGAAGACACTGTCACTCTTAATAAAGACATGCAGTCTAATCTAACGAAAGTTGAACAGAGCCTCAACCTGCAACACGGTTGTGGAAAGCAGGTGCTCTCCCATGGCAGTGACAAAGCCTTCTTTTAAGAGATCAGATCAACTTCAAACCAACATAAAGATTCCATACGTACATTATAAAACAGAACACAGACCTCACTGTTGAAATTTGCTACATTTAGAGTGTAGTGCCAGGAACACATAGTATTAATCGGCCTAATTTAAACAAATTATTGCAACCCTACTTTTAACATTTTCTGAAAGACTCTTACATGCCATCTTCTTTTTACAAGAACACAGAGAAATGATTTCTTACAAATACCAAACTCACTGCAATCAAGGATATACAAGAAGTTACACTGGTGTTCATTGCTCAGGGCCAAAGTAACTCTAATCCTTAAGAAAAACAAAACAAAACAAAACAACACACAAAACTCAAGTTCCTTTCACTTTTGCTTACCAGATTTTCGAACCTGAGGTCCCAGGACCAGCTTCAAGATGAGTAAAGCTGCATACAAAATATGGGTCTATTTCACTAAAGGGGCCCTGCAGGAAGGGTTAGGAACCACAGAGGGAAACATTTCCAGAATCACTAAAACTCAGGAGGGACCATTTTCAACAAATTATGCTAAAGGTAGTACCCATCTGAACACATGTGCCGGCTGCCTGCCAGCTCATATGGTCGCAGGATAGCAGCACCCCACTCACGGAACAGCAACCACCACACATCCCAGCGACAGCAGCTCCCATTTCATTCCCAGGCGTACACATGTTGTCAACAAAGCATGTGCCAGTTGCCATTCCCAGAACAATACCCGCCTAGCCATCCTCGGAAAAGAAATCCACAAACCTTCCTCCCAAACATTCCCCCATTTGTGAACGATGCTTGGACCGTAGATGTTAAACATGATGACAAAAAGGATGAAATTTCGCGCCTGCTTCCTTTCTAGTCACTAAAGTGGAGGGAAAGCATCACTCAGGTAGGGTCCTGAGAGTCCACTGGAGAGGCACTTATGGAAGACACCAGAGAGAGGATGTGAGAACAACCTGGGGGCCATCACAGAGGGACTCACGCAGGAACGTCCTGCACAATGTCCTGCAGCACGGTCGTGAAAAGCACCCTTCTTCATAGACAGAGGCACATTCCTTTGATTGGCATAAGCCATTTCTGACAATGGATCTGCGATGACAGGGGCTCCTCGGCAATCAGGAAGTGTGCGTGAGAGTGTGTGTGTGTGAGTGTGTGCGTGCTGTGGGGGAGGAATGTGCTAGATGTGACCCGGCCGGCTGCAAAGAAGAGCATATGGGATCTTAAATCCTGGAGACAGACTTGGAAGTGAGGCAGGGGCATCTACCGACCCCACGGGCGACAACTAACCACAAAGAACATGTTACGCGTGGATCCAACAGGGGTGTCACTACCTTTGGTGTCTCAGATCTGAGACTTCTCAGCAGAGCCCGACTGGAGCGGGGGAGGCGGTGGGGTGCAGAGAGGTCCGCAGCACCCACTGGGCTGAGCGTGGGGCTGCTGGCGGCGGTGTGCATCAGATGCACGCAGGCTCCGGGTGGCACAATAATCCGAGGCTGGGGTCCGGGCGTGCCGCAAGGCAGGGAGGCTCGGGTGCAACCGCCAGCCCGCTGCGGGGCAGCCTCTCCTCGGCCCGCTAACCCGCGCCGCCCGCTCTCCACCAGGCCTCGGGGCCAAACGGCAGCCGGCAGCCGGCGCGGGGTCCCGGCGCCAGCTGGGCCGAGGGCAGCGCCCGGGCCTCCCGCGGGGTGGGGGCGCTCCTCTGGCCTAGCGCCCCGCGCCGGCCCGGGCAGAGGAAGCGCGGCGAGGGGGAAGGGCCCTACTCACCCTGCCGCCCGCCGCCTGCGCCGCCGCCCCGGCCGCGGTCCATCCCGCAGGGCCTCCGCCGCGGCGCTCGAGTGACCCCGCGGCCGGCGGCCCCTCCCCCGCGCGGCGTCTGCGCTCGCGGCCGCTCCTCAGCCCCGGCCTGGGCCGCCGCCGCCGCCGCAGCGCTACGTGGCCGCCGCGCCGACGTCTCGCGACTCCCTCCCGAGCGCGCGAGGGCGACGGGGCCGCGGGGCGGGCGGCGGGGGAGGGGGCGTGCGTGTGTGGATGTGCGCGCGGGGGGCAGGGAGGGAGGCGGGCGGCGGCGAGAGCACGCCCGCGCGCGCGCCCGCGCCGTCCCCCCCCACGCCCGACAGGGATCCCAACACCTCCCTCTGCCCCCCCATTCGTTCCTTCCCCTGCGTCCCGGCCGCGGGGGAGCGGGCGGCGCGCATGCGCAGTCCTCGGGCCGCCCCGGCGCACCTTTTCTCGCTCCAGCCACATTGTGAGCGCTCGGCCCTGCAGATAACCGCCGGCTCCCCGCCCCGCCCCCGCCCTCGCCCACTCCGCCTACTCCCGAGCGCCCAGGTAAAGGCGCGAGCTGCGCATGCGCGCCGCTCCCCTTGGGTCGGGGGCGTGGTTGCTGAAAGGAAGCCAAAGCGCGAGGTGGGAGGGAGCGGTGACTAGGGGGTGTGGGAATCCACGACACAGGGAGGGGTGGTCTTGGGGGCCATGGTTCGCTCTAAGAAGAGGAAAAGTGGAGAAAGGGGGCGAAAGGTGAAAAGTTGATCGAAGTCCGATTTGGAAGTAAGAGAGCCTTCGTGAAATAAAGTTTAAAAATCCTGACTGCTCGCCTGCTTTTTATTGGAGGGCGGTGTGAATGACAGAGGACAGAAGTAAAGGAGGCAACATACAAGCGGAGTGGTCGTCCACCGGATACACGGAGCAGTTAATAAACCTGGAGCAATTCACAGATTGCCAGGGTGGTCAGAAAAGCAGATTTAGGGTCATGCTGGTCCTGGGGTTGAGAATAGAGAAGGGGACACCTGTGTGTGTGTACTCCGGAGTTGCTGCAAGAAAGGAGCCCTCCATTCTAAGTATTGCAGCATTATGACTAATTAGCTATTAATCATTAATATAATTAATGGTACTATTAGCTAACAAGGTAGCATTTACCCACGTTCAGAGCCAAGAGAGAAAGTCCATACTTGAAAGTGCTTAGGGTACAAGGAGAAGAAATGACTTGGTGAGGTGAAGGCCTGGGAGAGAAAAAAGGACCCAGGGCAACAACCCCCAGGTCAGAATGACCCTCTCCGCCATACCCCAACTTCCCCGGAATTTGACCAAGTCTTATCTTAATTGAAACTCCTTCCTTATTAAAAGCACACACACTTAACTGATGTTTTCATACTAATGCTGACCTCAATAGCACATGAACATTTTTGATACAATTATATTTGCCCCCAAACGACACCCCCCACACACACACACACAAAGAATCCTGCTAGGAATAAAATGACCTGAGTCTGGGACAAAGTTAAGAAAAAGATTGAAACTTTATGAAGGGGTCCAAGAGCTGACTAGGTCCTGGCCCCTTCCAGAAACAGATGCTTGGCTTTTATTACCCTTGGCCTCCAGATTCCAGGGATTATAGTTTTGGCAACTTTGGATTCTGTCCTTCAGTAACGAGGGTTTTCGGTGGGTAAACACTGAAAATTGTACTTCAGCAGGTAGACAACCTTCAGGCAGATGAGGACAAAGAAGAGACACAGTGTAAGACAAGGCCTGGCACCCTGGCAGCTGCCACTCCCGCAACGCCTGGCTGAGAAGTCTTCTTGGATGTTTGTTCCCTTCTCCGAAAACAGTAGCCTGCTGGTCCACAGATCCTGCTTGGAAGAAGCATGGGTAGCCCAATGGCTGCAGAATAAGGTGACCTTCCAAGCGCTGTGCCCCTCCACCCACAGCCCACTATGCAGGGCTCCCAGCCACCCTGGTAGTAATTCGGGACTTTCCCTTTGAAGAGCACTTTGGGGGTTTTCTGCAGGGGGAGATTGTGTCCCTTATCTCAGCAGATCTTCCACCAGTCCTGCAAGGCAGACAGGACAGGTACGATGCCCAATTAAGGAAATTCAGGCCAAGGAATGTTTCAGTGGCCTGGTCAGAGTCACTGGCCCCGTCAACAAGGAAGCCAGCGTGTTGGGCTCCCAGACAGCTTGATAGGCCCAGTCTGAAAAACTGCCACGTAGTCTCCTGAACTGAAACCAGGTGTCCCAATCAAGCTGCACATCTGCATCCTTCTTACATTGCTTTTCCTTTTTTCTTCTCTGGGCTCCTATGACTCGCGCTGTGGAGCTCTGTGACTGGTGCTTGGGAAGACTCTAGGCTTCCGCCTGGCCAGCAAGGTCCTTTTCTGGAGATCTTAGTTCCTCTAGTCCTTTCTACTCTTTCCCCTCCGCTCGCCTACCACAAGGTAGGGGCTGCCAACCAAATCACTAATCCAATAAATACCTAGGGAAGGGCTGCTTGCAAGACCCTTGAGGGGCTATAGACAGGGTAGCTTGGCAATCACGGTGGTGCTGAGCACATGTGGCCTTTGGGAAGCTCAGTCTTCTTGTCCTGGCTTCCTGGCTTTGGATAGCTCCTCGCTAACTTTTTCATTACACAGTGGGTAGAAACAAGCAGAACTCCCCACTTTTAACTAAAAAAAAAATCATTTTATAAAAGTTTCATATGCTTTAAGAGTCCTTCAAACTTTCCCACATTTCATTTAAACAGTAGCAGAATTCTGGTTTGTGGAAGATCAGCTGAAGGGTTGATACAAGCTTACTGTATTCCCTTGCTCAGAAGTTTCCCAGAGATGGAGATGCACATAATTCTTATCCCCTAGCTGGGTGTGGTAGTGTCAGTGTTTAACTCCAGGCCTCTGGGAGGCAGACGCAGGAGGATCTTGAGTTTGAGCCCAGCCTTGGCAACACAGCAAGAACCCACCTCAAAATTTAACAAGAAAATTCTTTTAAATGGCTAGGGGTGTGGCTCAGTGTGAAAGGTTTGAACTCTAGTTTGAAAGAGAAAAACTCTATCACTTGTATTTATGTAGGTTGAGGCTCTCTGCTCACCTGCCAACTAATATTACCCTAACTTACAGCACCAGACAGGAGCCAGAGTCCTGGCCATGGCCACCTATGTTCTCATTCTTTCTCCCCCTACCTCTTTTTTTTTTTTTTTTTTTTTTTTCCTTTTTTTGAGACAGAGTCTTGCCAGGTAGTTCAGGCTGGCTTTGGCTTGGAGTTCACTACGTTGCCCAGGCTGCCCTCAAACTTGGCCTCTGCCTCTGGCATGCTAGGGAGTGCTGGGATTACAGATATGAACCACCACGTTCAGCTGCTATTTTCTAAAGTTTGACAATTTTGGACACATTTTTCTTTTGCATTAACTTCATCTAGTCCTTCTGTCGACTCAGAGATAGGAAGGACAAAAAAGTATTCTCATAATTTTTTTAAAAGTCAATAAAAATAAGTCCCGATCTCAAGTACCGTGTGGCCAGAAATAGAACCTGGGTTTCCAGGGTCCAAGTCCAGGACTTTTCAGTGACACCATACTGTAGCTTTTTTTTTTTTTTTTTTTTTTTTGCTGGACACCATACAAAGCAAATCAAAGAGATGTGATATCTGGCCTCTGAAATTTGGGCTCAAATGGACAGCCAGGATATTGGCAAACATAAAAGGCCAGAGTGGTTTACAGCCCGCTTGCACAGGCTGAGGAGGAAATAGATTCAATAGATAAGGAAAGGCACGTTTTTTGGGGTCTAGGAATGTTCTCTCAGTTGCACTCAGGTAGAAGGGACAGTGTTAAGGGGACGGAAGTCTCGAACCCATCCTGCTCTACCTGCTTATCTCTACATATGGAAAAACAGTTGTAACTGCGCTGTGAATGCCTTTCCATGTCTTTACCTTGCCTGGGCAAGACCCAGTGTAGGGAAGAACCATTAAGAAGACATCTTCCACCATTTCCCTCATCCACAGGGGCAAAAATTCCACTGCACGCCTACACTGACAGACCGACCCAGCACCCACGCTACAGGCAGAGGGATACACAGCAGGTTCTGACTTGCAGAGGTCTACTTTTGACTTTGAGGGACTTGGGTCGAAATGAGGCCACTATCTTACCTGTAAAAATACCCTCTGGGAGATCTAATTAAAGGCCTAGAGGAACCCTGAGGTTAGGGACCTGGGCTGTGCAGGGCAAAAGTCCTCCTATCTCTAAGTGACCCGGGGCGGCCCAGTCTTTCCCTTGGAGGGTCTGCCCTCGAGTGTGTTCACAGCGGAGTGATCTAAACCAGTCAGGCCCCATCAGTTCTGTGTGAATCAGTTCACAGAGCAAGGTGCAGCCACTGTGAAGGCTGACCTCACTCAAAATAGTTATTATTATTTTTCAAGGAATAGGGATGTAGCTCAGCAGTAGAGCTCTTGCCTAGGATGCGCAAGGCCCTGGGTTCAATCTTCAGTACTTAAAAAAAAAAAGGCTTCCAGTTTCTCTGGGCAGCTTGTTTAATTGTTGTCAGTAATTGATGTGACATATGCCCCAGAGGCATGCACCGAGGTCCAATTGAGATGGTTTGTTTAAAAAATGGAATTAATTAATTAAAGAAAGCAGCTGCACGGGGCTGGGGAGTCAGTTCCAAACTCGGTAATCCTAAAGGAGCCAACCCACCCGACCGGCCTCGCCGCCTGCGGAGTAATCCCTGCAGTTCGCATGCAGAGGAAGGGGGACAGGGCAGCCAGGAGGGACCTGGGGAGCAGGGGAAGCCGGAGCTCAGCGGCCTCCCTCCGTTCTCCCGAACCCCGAAGGCTTGGCTGTTGGGAACTGAGGTGGGGGTGGGGAAGGGAAGGCCAAAGGAGGCCTAGGGGTTGTGGGGTGCAGCAGCCAGAAGACTGCAATGGGAAAGGGCTGGGCTGCAGCGAGATAGGGCGGGGCCACCGGGAAGGGGCGTGTCTGTGGGCGGGGTCAGAGGGTGGAGCCCGGATGTGGGGCTGTGGGGGCGGCCACGTGGCGCCTGAGGGCTCTACACTCAAAAGCGG